CAAAATGTGAAAATTGGCATCCTCGAAAGAGTGACCTTCGTCCTTTAGATCCAGATGGGCAGCCAATTCTTGTCCCGTGGAGGTGGCTCTTCTATGTTGTGGAATGCGTTTATGAAGTGGCAATTTGGTCTCCCTAATGTAGAGGTCTGAACATTCCTTGCTGCACTGTACAGCATACACTATGTTGTTCCGTTTGTGTTTAAATTGAGACTGACGATCAGTGATCATTTTTCTTTTCCCTTTGGGGATTTATAAACACATGATCAGCTGTGCTTCAGTAACAGCTGAAAAAGATAATGCACTGGATGCTTCTGTTTAGTTTTATTATTATCGTTTTATATGCTATTTTAGGGCCCTGGGTCAGGGACCCCGGGTTAAGGTATTAGATTATGGTATGGGGTTAAAGGATATTCTAAGTTCGATTAGACTCTCCAGGTTGCCATTTATTGCCATTTGTTTATTGTTTGGTGTGGTCTGGTCCCGGTCCCTCATTTCCCTCTGTAGAAATTCAAAATTTTCTAAAGTTTGGGTTTGAGATATAATTGTTCAGTTCTTAAAATATATTCGATTAGACTGACCGAGTAGGACAGAACATTATTCTGGTAACACTGCCCACAAACTGATATATATATTTACATGATGATGATGATGCTCATGTCAGCTGGATCAAAGAGGCTAGAGGGAAAAGGCGTGAGAAAGCAATTAAAATGTTACATTAGGACTTTTCATACTTATGGATCGATGGCACTATAATATTCATCCCACAGATAAGGTCACAACAAGTTCCCTTATTTCATATTATCATTAGACATATAAGGAAAATATTTATTTAAAATATTATGATTTCTCTTATGTTGTTACTATTATTCATTTACCAAATCACTTTTATCAAATAAATCTCTGAGGGAAAAAACTAATCATATGTCAAGCTTTTTTTTCGTATCTTTTTCCATTGTTGTCCTTGCACATAATCTTCACCATTATATACTGTGCTGCATGGCAATACTCAACTCACTGAGATGTAAGAGTATATACATATTCAGTTATCCCACTAACACTAAGAGGGCAAATAATGGGTGGTTTAAGCTAGCAAGAGCAAGCTTACTATGACTAATGATCTCAAAGACAACAACAAGAAGGCAACATGACAGAGGGTGAAGCAGCTCAGCAAATGAACCAAACCAAATTAACTGCTGTAACAGAAAATGTATACAGAAATCTTTATTAGTTTGTCTTTTTTGACAATTCCTTGGATATAATTCTGTGAAAAAATGTGGCAACCTAAAATTTCAAGAGAGTATGAACATGCGTGGTGAGTATAATAAACAGAAAACCTTTCAAGATGTTGCTCTGTCATTTTGCAAGGGTTCTAAGAACCTCAACAACACTTGAAATCAACATACCGTAAACCTCTGTTTTCAGTTAAAGTCTGGCGGTTTGGAGTTTCCTATTGTTGCTGTGTTATTATATTTAGATCTCTAAATATAATAACACAGCTTTTATTTCTCTCCACCCCTGGGACCACAAGCATGCCAGTGAAACTTTTCAGAAACCATTTCACCCTCAAGAAATAAGACACTTGTCTTATTTCATATATCGAGTTATTTATATAGATGCTCGCATGGAACGAAGAACACACTTAAGGAAGCGTCAAAATGACTGTGAAGACAAACATAAAATTCTTTGAGGATTTTCCTCATTTGAGTCACAGTAATAACATCTGTTATCAAGATTTGGGGTTTTAGTCAAGGGGACTATTTTTTCAAACCTTTGCTGGTAATGACAGCCTGAAGTCTTGCATGGACATCACCAGCCTGGGTTTCTTCCTTTTTAATTCTTTCACAGACCTTTACTGTTTGTTTGTGGGACTTTTTCTGCCAAGTTTACTTTTCAACAAGTGAAATGCATGCTCAGTTGGGTTAGGTTGCTGGGTGACTGACTTGGCCATTTTTCTTTAATAAACTCTTGGCTTTCTTTGGCTGAATGTTTTGGGTCACTCTCCATTTGTATTACGAAACGCTGCCCAATCAATTTGACAGCATTTGGCTGGATTTTGTGGTCGCAAATTTTGAAGCCATCGTGATAACCTTCTCCCACCTAGGGATGGGTACCGGTATCCGGGGCCATTATGGCACCGGTTCTGACATAAACGGTAGTAACCAGACCGAAAAGAAGCGCACATTTCGTTGCTTTCTTTCGGTGCTTTTTTTCCCCTGAGATGTCATACACTTTGAATTCTAGCCAATCATTTTACCTTTGCAAGTGCAGTAGGCGGGCCCAGGTACATACGTTCTTTTAGAGCAAAGCTACAGATTAAAAATGCCAAAGGCGAAGCGGTGAAAAGTCTGGCTGTACTTCACAGCAAAATATGCAAACTCAGCAGCCTGCAACAAGCGCTTTAAGGTGATACTGTGCAAAGGAGGTAACACCTCGAATCTGATGAAACACCTGGCGACATATAGCACATATTGTTAAAAGCCGAGAAATGCACCGTATTTGATAGCTTGCTGCGGGACCTCACACCGTGCACATCTACTGCGGGTGTGGTGCCTGTAATCGGACGCGGAGTTAGCAACATCCCCCAAGAACCGAAGGAGTAGAGTCCTGGTCCCTAGCCCTGCCAGTGTAGCAGAAATGATGACGGATGATGATGGCAGCAGCAGCCGTTCTTCTCTGCGTGAGTGGCTTAATGTTGTTCGTGTGTAATTTACGTTGAGTACGCTAACCACGTTATTAAATTAATGCATGTAAGGTGAACTAGCAAACACAGTTGTAGTTACATGCGGCTGTCTTCTTGTTTGATGGCAGATGCTCTCTTCACCCTGGCCAAAAAGTCTAAAATGACCAAAGAAAAAGTGGAAAACAGCTAAACATGAGAGGTTTTTGGACAAAGTCTGTGTTTTTTTCCCCCCATTGATTAAGCACTGCTTCCAGCCAAGAGTGATACCATATATCCCCTATAGCTGCAGAAAAGGCTAACATTGTTATCTTTTCACAAAAAACAGCTAAACATGAGAGGTTTTTGGACAAATTGTGTGTTTTCCATTCTTTAAGCACCGGTTTGAGCACCGTTTAAGCACCGACACCGTTTCAAAAGTACCGGTTTGGTACTGGTATCGGATAAAACCTAAACAATACCCATCCCTAGCAACGGGGAAGTGTCCACTCTGGCATTCGCCCGCGCCTCCAGTGGAAGCCCCGGAGATGGTCTGGTGGCCACCCACGTGGCAAGCAGCAGCGGCGCAGTGGGCGTGGAAGTGAGCCGGGGCTCACAAGCAGCTGGGCAGGTGGCAGAACACCGGCACGCAGCGTGCCGGCCTCTGTTGGAGGAGGCCGGAGCGGAGAGCACACCGTCCTCGGGCGTGGCAGGACCCCTGCGCACCTCGAACTCCGTCTCCAGCTTGGCAGGTCCCACTGGCTCGCCAGCCTCCGGTCACCCTGAGCCGCTCGCTGTCCACCCTTACAGTAATCACACGGTTGCTGTAACAGTACATTGCAGCTCTCCCGCTGCCAGCTGTACACATCACCACCAAAAACTACAACAGCATAAGTCCGTGAAGTCCATCTCACCTGCAGCGGCATTGCAGACCAAGACCAGCCACAATAATAAAGCATTTTTTAATTTAATTATAAACTTTGTCCTAATTATGTCCTGGGTTTTAACAATTTAATAATAAAAAGGGAAACATCGCAAAAAACACTTAAGGTCATGAAAATTAATTGCGATTTAGCAATTCAATGACACACCCACCTTATGTATTGAAAACTTTCGGTATCTGTATTGGTATTGGCGATATTGGCCCGTATTTACTTGGTATCGGATTAATACCAAAATATGCAGTATCGCACATCACTTGTACAAACTCCAAAACACATTGCTAGTGTTAACTGAACTTCCAAAACAGAGCTACCTAGATCGCTTAAATTACACAATTAAAAGCATATGTGTATTGTTTGTGTATTTATGCACAAGCACACATATATATTCAAATAATTAAAAAAATGTTCAATTATCCCTTTTACTACCACACACCAAATCCAGTAGTTAGTACTTCCTGGCTTGTGTAGCCACTAGGTAAGAAAAGCTCAACACTGCCCCTAGCATCCTGGATCACTTCCGTTGTGTTTTGGAGTTTGTACCTGCTTTATCTCTAGTGGCCACCGTAAATATACTTTTATTTATTCACTCCACATAAAATGTAATAAATAAATCATATAATACGCAAACCAACTATTTAGATTTCAACTTTTAACTATTTAAATTTTCAGCTTTTTCCTTTTAAACTAATTTAAACTGAAACAACTCAAAACACTGCAAACCACAAAACAATTAAATATAAATTAAAAATGCAAAACAAAAAGAAGATGCACATTCTCTGTCATATAGGCCTGCATGAATAAACTTTCTGAATCCTTTATCATCCGCAACTGATAATAGTTGTGGATGATTACTCTACCTTTCTAATGTGATGTTGTTGTCCCTGGCTCTCTTTCTCTCTCTTTCCCACCGGCTCTGTACCTGTGCTACTGCAAGTGTACCTACCGCCCCTCCCCCATCTGCTCAGCGCAAGCACAATGTTCGCATGCAGAGTGAATCTGAAAAAAAGGGCGAGAGAGAGAGTGAGAGGAAGAGGGTGAGAGAAAAGAAAAGGAAAAAAAACACGGCTCTACATCGTTCACTTCAAAGAGCTGGCTCTAAGAGCCATTTCATTCACGACCGACACATCACTACTACAGAAGTCAAACCACAGGAAATGGATGTCTCAAGGGAAAATACTGATAAATGCTATAGAAGAAACCGTTTGTTGTTTGTTTGTTTTGGGATTGTTGTTTTTTTTCAAGTGAAACGTGTACTTCCTCAGTTCAAATGAAATAAGTATTTGTATTAGAAGCAGACTCAAACAGATCACTGTGATGGCTTTGATTACTGGGGGAGTGGAACACAAGTCACAGTAACTACTGGTAAGTAACAATGCAAAGTATTCGGAGTGAGGTAAATTCTGTATTTGTTATATAGATTTATTATTTATAATATATTTGTTATACAGTATAGTTTATGTTATATACAAGAGAATGTAAAACATCTGTTTAAATCATAGCTTTATTGTAGAGTGTAATTATGTATTAGATAACACTGATGGCCAGCAAAATATTTTTTGCATTAAACTGCAATTGAAATCTGTCACTGTGATGGCTACTTTGATTACTGGGGAAAAGGAACAACTGTGACTGTGACATCAGGTAAAACAAACAAAAATTTAAAAAGGCTTGTTTTTGTATGTTTGAAGACCTTGCTCTTATGATACTTGAAAAAAAAATGACGGTTCCTGTAACATAAGGTAAGAGGAGCTTTCAGACTAAAATATATCTGTTGTAAGACCATGCAGTGCATTTATTTCTACTGCACTGCAAGTCAGTAATCTGTGGCCAATTTGAACTTTTATTAAGAAACCTTGTGATCTTTAATTATATTAGGTCAGAGTGATTCTAACAGTTTGAAAAGTCAAACATGTCAGAAAAAAATCCGATATATGATAAGTTTTTTGTTTGAAGTGAAACAAGATTCTGTTAACTGATAACTCGGTTTTCAACTACTGGGGAAAGGTACCATGGCTACAGTCATACCAGGTAAAGTTATTTTATTCATTCTTTCTTTCTTTAATGTTTTGTACTGTGACAGAATCCACCGTATTCATTGTTTTTGGTTAATAAGTTGTTAGACTGTGAAAACGCTTTTGACTACTGGGGAAAAGGCTCGATGGTCACAGTTACTTCAGGTATGAATTGTTATATTTCAAACGAAATAGAGAAATTCCTCATCACCAAGTACGATACAATGTAATCACTTCAATGTTGGTACAACTATTGTGTTATCTTTAGCAAAGTAAGGAATTACGATAGTTTCTTTTACAGCTTAACAAAGAATTTTTGAAAACTGGACATAATATACTTATGTTCACCATAACTATATCAAGAATAATTTATTTTAAACAGACTATAATTACTATTATTATTACAATATCTGTGAAATCAAAATAATTAAGAAAGAAAGTCACAGTAATTAGTTTCTGCATTAAGTGAAAATACAATAAGAATGCCATAAGGTAAATTTATCTAATTAAAATCTGCATAGGATAGGATTTTCCTTTACAAGTTATAAGCTTTCAAGTTTCCCATGAAAGCTTAATTGTATTCATGTACATGCATTGTAAAAATATTCTCAAACATGACATTACAAAACAGATAATAATGGCTCTGGCATTTTGATAGGATAGGATTTTCATAATTTGGTGGAATTAATAAATGTTTAAGTAGACTTTTTACAGATTGTTAGCAGTTTAGCCTTTTATACTAAGAATGACATAGATTTAGTACTGCTATGTTGCTTTGACTACTGGGGAAAGGGGACAAAGGTCACTGTCTCATCAGGTAAGAAGGGATATTTAATCTCATATTTGAGGACTAATAAAATGTTATTTTATGAGAATTTGTCATCAGCACTGTGAAAGAACATTTACTGATTTTACACTATCCTTTACTGACTTATTTTTTTAAAAAGGACTGATAATTTTTGTTTTGTTTTGAATATTTTGCATTTAAAATAATGTGCAAACTGATGTGTATAATAACAGAAAAAAGAAACTATAATAGTATTGAAAGAGACAAATGGCTTCTGAGGTGTTGTCTACATTGTTGTACACTCACGCAGCAAAATCTCCAGTGTTAAATTAACACTAGAGAGTGTCTATATGGGTCCACACCTCTGAGTGTTAAATACAACACTGTTGAGTGTTAAATTAACACTTTTGACAGTGTTATGTGTTTAAAAGTAACCTAGTCAGTTTTGAAGATTAACAATGGCTAACACTGAGCAGTGCTGATTTTCTAACACTGGAATATTTCTAACATTTTGAGTTATTTTCCAGTGTTAGAAAATCAGCACTGCTCAGTGTTAGCCATTGTTAATCTTCAAAACTGACTAGGTTACTTTTAAACATATAACACTGTTAAAAGTGTTAATTTAACACTCAACAGTGTTGTATTTAACACTCAGAGGTGTGGACCCATATAGACACTCTCTAGTGTTAATTTAACACTGGAGATTTTGCTGTGTACAATGTGCACAATCATTTCAACTGATTTTTCTTGTGAAAATATGTCTTTCATTACTGTATTTCTATTCTCATATCTTAATTACTTTCCCCCCTTTCTTAGGCACTCCAAGTACACCCACTGTGTTTCCTCTGATTCCATGTGGTTCTAAAGGCGGAGATATGGTCACTATTGGCTGCCTTGCCACTGGCTTTAACTCTCCATTAGTGACTTTCTCGTGGAAAAAAGCAGGCTCTACCTTGACAGACTTCACTGAGTACCCTGCAGTACAAAAAGGCAATGTCTATACTGGAGTCAGTCAACTCCAAGTGAGCAGAAACGAATGGGATTCACAACAGAATTTCCAGTGTGTTGTGACTCACAACAATACAGATTCAAGCGCGGATATAAAAAAACCATGTAAGACAAATTAAATTTTTCTAAATTGATTTGAACTCTTAACAGAAAGCACAGAGGACATATTTTAAAGTTAAATACTGTGACGGAACTACAAAGTTTACAAAAAATGTAGAAACAATTTCAAAAAACTTATAACCATTAAAATATACTGTGACATATTATAAAATATGGTAGCCTTATTTTGCCTAACTTGTATATATATATAAGTACTATTACATATACATATATATATATATATATATATATATACATATATATATACATACATATACATACACATACATACACATACATATACACATACATACATATACATATATATACATATACATACATATATATACATACATATATATACATACATATATATACATACATATATATACATACATATAAATTAATATATATAATATATATATATATATATATACACATACAATATAATATATATAATTATATATATATTATATATATATATATATATATATATAATTTATTTATTTATTTATTTGTGAATGCAAATTGTTTTCTTTTTGTTTTGTTTGTTCTTTCTCTATGGATTTACATCAGTCCCCAAAACTACAGTTCGGACTACTGAGACTACAGATGGTATGTCTGCAAATACAGTTTTACCTACATTTAGTGTTATATAGCTACATTATATACATTACATTTTTGTAATGTAAAATATCTTTGCAGTTATTTTATTATTTTTAACCAAGTATCTATTTCAGATAAGATAACAGTGACAGTGCACGTCATCCCAGAGTCACACATCGTCAAGGAGGTCACTCTGGTGTGTCTCATCTCCAGCCCCGAGAATAGAAATTACAGCATTACCTGGTCAGAAGACCTTGGACAAAATAAAATACCAGGCATCATCTTTCAGACACAGGAAATCAAAAACCGCTACTTAGTTATGAGCCTTTACAAAACCACTAAGAAAAACTGGGAAGCAAACAAAATGTTCTATTGTTACGCTGAAGCGAAACAACCCCCAAGCTTGAACAGCAAAGGCGTATCCAGCAAAATGGGTAATTCCAAAGAATGTGATGGCGACTATACTACTTAAATGTGATATTTTGTGCTTGTGTAATTTTGTGTCTGCGTAAGTTTTCTCTGTGAAAATCAGTGTAACTGCTATGTCATCAGTCACTGTGAGACAAAAATGCATGCTTTCCTTGTCATGTTGTTTTTCAATCTGCCTTTGTAACAATGTCTACTTGCTTGATAAGTGTTGTCTGTTTTAAATAAATGTTGCATGGAGATGCTTTGGTATATGTCTAGATGGATGAAAACAATTTAAAAGGTGAAAAGCACAAAAACAATAACAAACTGTTCTATTGTTCAATGGAGTATGAGCATAATTAAAAAAGAAAAAAAGTATATCAGTCTTACCCTAATAAAAAAATGAAAAAATAAAAAAAATACACTGACACACACAGAACTCCTAACAAACTATACTCTACCTTCCTTAGAGTCAGACGTTGTTCTGAGTTTCGCAAATGGCAAGAATCAAGAGGATGAGTTCAGCAGCCTGTTGTCCACAACCGCCTCGTTCATATTCCTCTTTGTATCTTCTCTCTTCTACATAGTGATTATCAGCCTGGTGAAGGTAAATGTACAGCCTGAATTTTCAACTTTTTTTTTGAGGACTAAAGTCTGTATAATCTACAATACAAGATGACTTTTTTAGGATTATGAATTTAGATTTTTTTTTCTTTGCACTTGAAAAGTATGATTTTAGCAATGTGTCTTCAGAAAAAAAGGAAAAAAAATATATAATTACTGCTTTAAGCAATTATTTGGCTGTAACTAATTCCAAGGCTACATTAAGCTATAAAGTAAAATTACATTAAAGAAGAAATAGAAGCAGCTATTTTTTTAACTGTTTGATGTTTTCTTTTTGCAGACGAAGAGATAATAAAAATGGGCTGGAATGGATACATCATTAATTATGTATTTTTGAAAATGATTTTTAAATGCTTTGTGTATTAATCATTTTTATATTAAATAGCAGTCATATATATTTACCAAATTTGTAAGCTGTGGAAAATTAAATAAAGGAATGCATATTTTTAAATTCATATAACCCTATGTCCCTAATCTGGGTGCTGTTGTTATTTTAAGTAACTGCTGTAGAAAAAAAAAGAAACATCACTGTTTGTTCATTTTGCTGCTTTGATTAATATTTTCATGTATACAATTAAGTAAATAAAATTTGGCACCTTACAATTTAAAGGTAGTATGAATGATAGTGTTTGTGTATAAAAATAGAAAATTACTCTATCATTTCTCAAGGGTTTTAAAATAACAGAAGTCAATATACTGTAAAGTTCTGTTATCAAGAGGTTTTGAGTTTCCTGGTGCGCTCCTAGAGATCAGCTGCACAAGTGAAACTGCAAAAACCATTACTGAATTAATTTACATGAAACAAGATAGTCATCTGTGAATAGTACATATTTACATACGGAGTGGCTCACATCCATTCCTTGTACACAAAAGCTCTTAGATAAAGGCGAGAATAAAGGTGGACTCACCTTCAAAAATACATCTATATTTGTACAGTCAATGGGGGACTAGGCCATTGTTCTTCTCACAGTTTAAGTCTGGTATAGAAGTGTTTCTCAATCCCACAAGCACCACTGTGAGCCTGTCTGCTGCACAGAGCAGACTGGAAGACCTGTGTCTGTCAAACCTGGACACAAAGCCCTGTCTCAGCTTTCAACTCTGCACTGAACAATTTACTTGTTTCACATACTGATGTAATTATAGCGATTTTTGTAAAGATTATTTACTGTTATTACATTAAAGGAAGAGGAATTTGCTGATCTTGGCCTATGAGAATTCCATAACAAATTACTTGGATATGGATGAATCTGTGAAGGGTTTTGGAAAAGGAAGCAGGAGACTGTTTATGTAGAGCACTGCAGAGAGGAGAAAGGAGAGTGGAGCTGTTCAGTTGCAAGCAGAGTTCAGTTCCTTTCAAAACAAAAAAGCTTATAACAAGACAAAATCTTGTTCTACAAATTAATTTGAGAATTGTGGAAAAAGATGTGGCAAATATTTTTTTTTATTACTATGTCAAGTCAGACAACAAGCAAATAATTTACTTTTATTAATCATAAACAATATTTGCCTTCCAAAATAATATACTATACAAATAATAGATGAATATTCCAAACACGTTCAAGCTAAAAGGTTGCAGTTTACCATTTCATTTATTTTTGTAATGATACCTATATTCTCAAGAAGGCAGATTGCAATCTACTGCCTTCAGAACTCTTCCTGCACTCTTGGTGGCGCTGTCACTTGGTGTTCGCTCGCTCTGCTTATTGGCATGGTCCTGGCGTGTTGCGGCCAGTAGAATCAATAGGCGCACATAAGGCTTAAGGCGCGGGGTTCCCACGGAGCGCAATTTCCTTGGGGGCTCAAACCCAGATATAAAGTTTTTCATAATTTTGTAAATATTTTTTATGTTTTTATGGCTTTATTGTCATAAAGACCCCTGTTTATTTTTTTGGGGCGGGAACCCATAATATCCAATATTTTCAAAAAATTAGTTGCAACTGGAAATATTTGGCATGAGGTTATTAGAGCCTTGAATAGGTAAATAATTCATAACAACATTGATTTGGATGCATTATTATTTTTGGAACAATAACACTTTATTGCAAAAAAACCAAACTGAACTGACCTGAACAAACTCAACAACAAACTAAGCAAAGATGTAATTTACATTATCATACATAGCATGAACCACAAGATGGTTAGATTTTGCAGACAGGACATATCTTATATATATATATCTTTGCAGCAGTTACGATAATAATGTGCTGTTTGCACGATGAGCACTGCTGCTCTTTCTCAGCAAGAGCCTCCCCGAAATTGACCGTGCGCTTTGTGTTGTCCGTGCGCGCGTCTGTGCATTTCGTGGCGTCTGTGCAGAAATGACTCGCAAGACAAGGCTGCAAACTTGTTACTGTGTACATATCTTGCGGGTTGGCGTGCCGTCCGCCCACCACCCGTCTGTTGGCCACTTAGGTAGGCCGTCTCCTGCTCTGTCAGTAACATAACTGAGTAAAATCGTCCACATAGCTTGCAAAGCTGTTGGCTCAGCATTCAGACTTCGAAACAGGGGTCGCACCTGCGAAGTATGAAAGATCGCATGGCGTTCTATCTTATTGTGCTTGTCTAGACGACTATGATAGCGTTCTTTAAACCTGTCTCTCCCTCAAAATGTGGTTGGCTGTGGCCTGTGCCGCTTCCCTATCCGGTGAAATACGTGTGAACTGATCCTGAGAGCGAAACTCGAACACAAACTGAGTCCAGCAGCTCCAGATGGGTAACTTCTACGAGTGTTGGAGAGGCACCGACACCTCTGAGAGGTGCGATGGCGCTGGACCGTCTTTATAGCACGAACCTCTAGATGGATGGATTTTGCAGACAGGACATATCATACCATTTACAGCAGTTACGATAATAATGCGGTGTTTGCATGATGAGCACTGCTTCCAAGCCTAGGCAGGCTTGGATTACATCAAGCAGGCAGATTACATCAAGCATCAAGTATCCTCACTATTAAATCAGAAAGAAAAGATTAGTTCTCCAAATGAATTACAGCCTGAGAGGAATACCTGCAGACAGGAGTGAAGGCTGAGGAACCTCCACTTCAACTAAAAGAAAAAGCAGAAAAGTCATAGCAAAAACAAATTCATCAGCCTGACTGACATGATAAGTATCAATAATACAGGAGCACATTTCTTTCTGTTGTTCATGATAATTTCTCTTTCTTTACATGTTTATAAGTCACAGAACTTCCAACCACACCTACCACTGCACCTGCTGCTCCTCCTACTCCTGCACCTGTTGCTGCTGCTGCTCCTACTACTGCTCCTACAACTGCTCCAGCTCCTGCTCCAATTAGTGCAAATGCAACTGCAGCTATAAATATACTAGTCTTTGGATATTTTAACAGAAAATACTTTATTCTTTTCCATGCTCTTTCTTTAACTGTCAATTTTTTTGAGCGATGTTCCAATAGAGGGCTGTGTTCATCTGATAGGCATATGTCGTCAAACAGATCTGAGCAGTTTTCTTCTTCTCTGATAAAGGTCTCAGCCATCCTGAACATGTCAGAGGTGTAGTGTCCTCCGCCGTTAGCTTCAACCATGTCATCTACCCTACTCAAGAACTCTCTGACCTGCTGCCTGTTTCCTTTCTTTGTGTTGTCAAAAACACAGAATCTGTCTCCACACATGAGACCAGCCTCTCCATGACTCCCCACGACACATTTACTGTCTGGCCTGGTCGGCCCTGGAAGCGCGGCAGGAGTGCGGCTAGGGAAAGGAAATATGTCTCTCGCGATTGGACCGCAACCCTCTGAGCTCGTCTCCATGAGTAGAGCGAAAGTCTACCTCGATTGGGGAGCCTCGCACCCTAAGACCATGCCAGAGTCCGAGAGAGCGACCTGGTAAAGGTGCAGGAGTGCCGGTTCAAACAGTTTCTTGCTCTGCCGCAAGAAATCCTGCCAACCTCGAGCCGACAACAACAACGAGGAAGCACGACATGAAAACTGGAGCCTGGTACTGGGGCGCGTCCCCCACTCCATAACCACGCGCGGCGTCATATGAGGTACCGCAACGGTACCAGTTCTAAAGAGTTAACTGTTTCAGCTGGGAGTGGCGTCTGAGAGATCGCTTGTGCAATACTGTGATCTATTTACTGGGTAGCTGTGGACCTCCAAACCTTGGTGAGTCTACTGGAAGAGAAACCGGCATGACGTAGCCCTATAACGACCTGAGCGCACGGGCTCCGCCTGGCTCTGAGACTGACCTAGCGTACTTGGAGTTCATGTCTACAGTCACACCGTCTGGTCCTAACATTAATAAGATAGCGACTCTCGTTACGAGAGCCTAAGGATGGCATCGCTGCTCCTGCTGAACCTCCGTTCCCCAACTGCTCCACAGGTCGATCCAAATCAGAACGATCTTGCCTCTTCCTTTCTGTAAGACGGGCCCATTTCCGGATCATCCCACTTGCTACAAGCGGGTAACAAAATGAGAGTATCATAAACCACCCACCTCCGCCTTATTCTCTTACTCACTTAATACATTGCTCCTTCCCCGCCGAGTTTGCGCAGGCACCCATCTCAACATGAGTTGTTCTCTGGGTACTGCGTGGTGGTTTTCCTTGAATTATCCGTTGTTCTTTTCCACTGAACCCAGCAGACCTTAAAGCAGTTTGAATCTACAATGAATACTAACTCCTCACAATAAAAGTGTTATTTGTAGAAGCAGTGAGTGAGGAGTTGGAATCAGAACAACAAGGAAACAGTAAAACCTTGCTGATATTTAAATATACAAACAGGGAACCATAGAACAATTAATCTCCAACATAGAGACAGATTTCCCTCTTTTTCCATCACAAGTTATGCCCATTATGACCCACAGCAGCACAGCTAGCTGCAGATATCATGGGACTGAGGCTGGCATGGAAATATAGGCACATGAAGGACAAAGAGAAGGGACCTGAGTAGCTTTACTCTACAATATTCCCACACCACATCACGGTTCACCTTTTGCAGACTTGCTACATTTATCAGTAAATTTATATCACAGGAATTTCATCATTTTGTGAGTTTCTGCAGCCTATAGGTTGAAATTGTTATCTCGTTGGCATATTCGCTTTCTAGATGTTCTGGGGGTTCAATGGTAATTTTGTCTAAGCGCGTATTATGAGAACTCTTCTCATCAATCAACCCATCCCATATGTTCACGCCTCTTAGCTGCCGCCACCAAAGGCTATGGCTCCCAACCATGCTTGATCCTCACGAGGCCACCTTGATGGATCACGCATGGGAGTCGTCATTTGTCTTGTACTCAATGCCGCTTAGACGCCAGATTACTCTAAAAGTGCACAAGCAATCCTTCACACTGTTTTCGAGATAATAGCACCTACGAGAGTGTAACAACAACCGGTGTTATACTCACCATCCAAGTATCGTCCAAGCCTTTCTGGCTGCTTAGAAGTACAAATCAGATGTTCGCGCAAGCGTATGTTCTTACGAGGAAGAGCTCGAAAAAGTGATGTGTTTTTATGATGCAGAGTATGAGCGTTTGGCGCGAATAGGAGTTTTCCTATGGGCTCTCAAATCATGATCTTAAAATTAAAACAAAATGAGATAGCCCACATGGTTCTACTCACAGCGGATTTTCAGTCTTATTAGTTGTGTGTTCGCTAGAATCATAAATAGCCTTGTGATCTTTGTGGTTAACTTCTGATATACATATCCGATATTTTAATCTCTACACTTAACAAAACGCCAGTATACCTCCCATCGGTGTACTTTACTCAGTTGATCTAACTTCTTTTCTGTTCTTACTTTGTTTTTCCTTCCTTCCCCCCTTCTCAACCGTTATTATGTGGCTATTTCACCTTTTTTTCTACTCTGTTTCTTCTTATTCGTCTCCTTGTTTTTTACATTTTGCTGTACAGTGTCCTTCGTGTTCTTGACAAGCGTTTATTTTTACACATAACAGATTCGTTCATGTTATTTCACATATCAATATTCTAATGATATCTCAACCGGGTAATATAAGTTCTATATCTGGCTCAACATATACTGCATCGATCTACGCAAACAAGTTTACTAGCATCAAGGTGCCATTTTCCTTGGACCTTAACTAAATTGTCTTGCTGGACTACTGTAATTCCCCTTATTAACATAGCAACAAAGTCTGTAACTCAGCATTTTAGTGCATCTGACATATGTGCTATGGAATAGAAAGTGTTGGAGCTTTGGCATCCGTGTGTATGAGGAGATTTGCTCAGACAACCTTCTGATGGCATACACA